TTGGCATATCCATGATATGAGCATATATGATTATTCAGGCCTACCATATATGTCTTCCAATGATTTCTCTTTTGCTCTATAAGCTTGTTTATATGTTAGGTCAATCCTATACTCTCATTTCAACTTCCTCCTTATTTCAAAAGTGTGCTTGTCTACATGATCCCTCACCTCATCAATTACTATTGATGAGTTCAAACTAGGGCTTCGACTATGCATCACTTCTAAGCTATCTTGGATCGAATAAACATGCCAATTTATAAATGTCATCACTTGTAACACATGAGAACTCTTCCCTACATCATTTGCACATGGCTTCCATGGACAGCTTTCAACTTTACACCTCACGGACATGAATTCCTTGCCATTCCTCACATATTTGGACACAAACTTGTGTGCAGATACCCAAAATGCATTTGTATTTGGAAAACATTGACCCACCCCTGTAAAAAGCTCCTCCATTTCACACTGCTCATCTCACTACCATCAATATCTTCAACTCCGATAGATGTATCCACATTAAGGGCCCACTTTCTCCATCATTGTCACATTCACCTGCATTTTCTTCATTAAACCAGCCATAATCATAACACAAACTGATAAGAGACGCATCCAATTCCATTTACTATAACATACCCATAAATCTCTCTGTTTTGTATTCATAATGACAAGAGTAGTAAACACAAATGACAAGATGAAATTCATAAATGATAATAAATAATTAGAACAAACTTCTACTTACATTTCTATAGTGTTTATTGGTTGCAAATCCCCCTGCCCCTTTTTCTGCCACATACACATTGCCACTGTTCCCATTTTATTGAAAAAGGTTATACATTTCAGTATTGTCATGAAGGTCAATTAATGTCTTCTCATCAAAGGCCACTATGTATTTAATGTCACAATTTCTTCCATCACCACCAATCCTCTCACATATCATTAGCTTCAATTTTTCAAGTGTCAACTCATCCTTAATGCTTCTTAACCTCACGCTACCTCCATTATATCTCACTTCACATTTACCATTTGTCACAAATTTCTCACCCACATGAAAATAACAGAACAACTCCTTCCTACTAGATGGCCCAGCTTCGAAATTCATTTTGCATCATTACCTGCACTAACAATAGAACAGTAATGACTATATGACTTAACATTTAGGTCATCACTTCAATTTCACCAACATAATATCATCACCATCGGCTTACATAACCAGATTAAGGTTTGACACATTCATACTAATAATTTGCAACAAAACACTCATTTCTTTGCTGTCTACACTCATACTTCATTTTCTCAGAATAAAGCCACTCCATTATTTGAATCCCTCTTCAACATTGTCCCCTCCTCTAACACTAATCACTCTGACCCATTTGTGACACCATCAAACTCCTCTCCCTCAGTGTTTTTGCTTCCCCATTCATTCACTCTCTGATTACTGTACTTCACTACAGCCTCTTTACTCCTACAGCATCTCCCTGCTTCACCACCCTCTCCACCTTAAAACCAACCTCACTCCGACCATATTCCCATCCAACAAAAAAGAAGAAGATGAACCAGCACATAAAGGAGATGGAGAAAAGAAGGAGAAGAAGAATATGGTCATTGAATACTAATCTCACTTGCTTTCTTCATTCATTAGTTGTTTTCCACGTTCATGCTCCTACGTTCATGCTCCCTTCCAACTTTTTTCCCCACCTCTTGCCACACCTTTCTTCTTTCTACCATAAATGTATATTATTTGGGTCATACAAGGGTTTTTTTGTAATTGAACAATATTTTCATAATCCCCTATCAGGCAACACTTTCTAATTTATCATTATATTTGTTTAGCCTCTCATTTTGGCATATAAAATTTTCAGATTTCTTTTTATGTCATTTTTCTAAAAAGGTAAAATAGAAAAAATAGATGAGCACATGTTTTTCACCGTACTGATTTCTAGAACATCACATTAATTACATTATGACTATGAAATGTAATTTCTCCCCTTGAGGAGAGATTCTCGGAGTACGAGTGCTTCTCGTGATTTGTGAGCAAGGAACAAAAAACCGGACCGGGAACTCAACCGGTCCAGGTAGTGGGTTAAGGGTCACTGGTTAGACCGTGGTCGAACCGGGGTCGGACTGGTCATAATAAAATAATATAATTTAATTCACAAAATCAGTTAGGCACCTAAAGTTTGGATTAAATCTATTCCAGAATATATAATTTACAATCAAAATATCCATCACCAATCCACAACTAAACAAAAGGAATTAAATTATATATGTGAAGATCAACATCAGCACAACAGCAAAAACTAAGCTCACAGTATAATCAAAATTATAATGCAGAAGTACAGAACGATAGCTTCTCTTCTGTACAAAATTAATATCAAGTCAATCAACGACTATGGATCTTAAATCTCGCTCTCCTCCCTTCTCAAATCTCACAGCTATGGATCAAGTCAAACAACACTCTCCTCCCTTATCAAATCTGAAATCTCACGACAGCAGTCACAGGGTCATAGCACAGAGAGAAGCAGCTCTTCGATCTTAAAAAAAACAACCCAACTAAAAAGGAAAGGTATTGAGCTTACCCACAAGGCTAGAGCTCAATGCCTGAATCGAAGGTTGAAGCAGGACGTCCGTGAATGATGAAGGTGAAGCAGGATGGACTATGGAGACTCATGACTTGCGATGGGAGCTGTGAGGGCGAACGGTGAAGGCGAAGTCGAGCTACAAATCTGAAGCAATGTGAGCGGCGAAGGTGAACGGCGAAGGCGAAGGTGAAGGCGACCGGCGAAGGCGAAGTAGAGCTGCGAATGCGAAGCAATGTGAGCGGCGAACGGAGCCAAAGAGGAAGGAGTGCCATTGTCAGTGATGAGGCGACGCCATAGATCCGATTTTGTTGGGGTTCACGGCACGAATCTGGGACTTGGAGGAGGGGGAAGAGATCTCAGCGATTTGGTCACAAATGGCCAAATGGGGAGGACTGGAGGAGGACCGGCAGCTTGAGTCGAGATTGGCACCCTAGGGAGGGACAAAGAGTTTTCATTCTGGTTTTTTTTGGACAAAACGACGTCGTTTTCTGTGGCTAGGCAACCAAAAAAAAAAACATGTGAACCGCCCAACCGGTTTTTCCCGGTTCAACACCGGTTTTTACCGGTTGGACCGGTTCCCCACCGGTTCAAACCACCTCCGGTTTTTTCTTCAAACCAGACCGGACTAGCGACCGGTTCACCGGTTTTCCGGTTGAACCGGCCGGTCCGGTCCGGTTTTTTTTACCTTGTTTGTGAGGGAGGCAGCTCAGGGAATGGAGTCAATGCAAAGCTCTTTTGGAGCCACGAAAAGGTCTAAAATATCAAGCAAGCGTGTGGATACGAGTTGCGTGCACGTACAATTATTGGGCCACAAACGTCACAAGTTCATAACCGCAACCATCTCTATCAAACCTTAAATGAACTTATTTACTCATGAGTTCAAAGTTTTTTTTTTCAGCATGGTTTTAAAAGGCATAACGGGGATGATTTGAAACTTTCATAGATCCGGATACGTTAACTTATTTCTTTTTTATTTTCTTTTTGAGTATTCAAAATTTAATTTCATTTTGGCTTCAACACAACGATTTTTGCTTAATTATTGAAGGGTTACTTCAAGAAATTGAAGTAAGGAATATTTTGTATATATACAAAGAATATGTAATAGAAGGAAAAAAAAAACAAAAAGGAATTGGAGCACGTGTGATTTTCACGTCCCGATCAGTGTGGTCTCGTGTTTTGTGAAGGAATGCAAGACATGGATGGACCCCAACGCTAGTTTGTGGATAAGTTCTGAGCACGTACAATTATTTGGCCACAAATATCATGATGACCACAACCATGGCCACCAAATATTAAATCAACGTGTTAACTTATGATTTGGAACTTCTATATCCCAACGTTAGTTTAATGTTTTAAGTTTTCTTGTGTATTTAAACTTTGATTTCATTTGTGGCTTCAACACAATAACTTGTAGCTAAATTATTGAATTGTTACATGTCGGCCCACAAGGAAATTTTTTTTCACATATTCTCCAAGTGGTGGATTAATTAAGGAATAAAGAAAGAGTAATGCGAGAATGCTACTTTGATGTCAACACTTTCGTCCCAATTTCCATACTGAGTAGAAAATTATAATACTTATTGTACTATAAATTTGTATTATATTCTTTTAATTTTATTTATAAGTGATTTTTAACTATTTTATTAAAAAAAATTTAAATTTTATTAATTATATCATAAAATTTAATAACCTTTTAACTTTACTTTGATATAATATATAGACTTTGAAAAAAAACAATAGTTCATACAACAATAAATTAATGATGAAATTGTACACTCACATCAAAAGCTTAATATAAATAGGACAAAAAAGTTCTTTCCAACTTATAAATATAAGAAGTGTTGTTCAAATAAAATTGAAGAAATTGATGAAAAACAATAATTATTTTGTATATAAAAATAATACAATAAAATTGTGGCAATAAAACATGGTCCGCCACCGCCACCCCGGATTACAAATTTTTTTTTTTTCTTTGGGTTTTCGTGATGGTCAGAAATTCCGGTAAAGGTTAAAACAGCAGTAATGGATTTAAAGGATCCACACCAAATATACATGGGGAACTGGGATTCCCTTTGTCCCCAGAACATCGCAAAAGACAGTAGAACTAAATAGAAGCTTTTCCTCTTCACCCCAAAGCCTCTCGGCAAATTTCCCTCGCTTTCAAATAGAAATCACTTGAAAACCAAAATTCTTCAACCTTCAAGTCATTTTCTTTCTGCTTTTTTTTTCCCTTGCCAATGCGATATATGTCACTTTCTTTCTCTAATGCATACTTACCCACTTGTTGATTTATGCAGTGGTAATCATTATATGTGCACATTTTTACTGTAGCAAATGTAAAAATCATAGACCTAATATAAAAAAAGAGCAATGGCTTCCACAGAACATTGCAAGAAACAAAAACGAAGGAAGAATTGAGTTTATAAGCTTTTTGCTCTCCCTTCCTCCCTCCCTCCCAAGCCAAGCCAATAATGGCTCTCCCTCAGTTCCTCTTACTTTCAAACACTGCTCACTTCAAATACAAAATCTTTCCATCACTTTCAACAATGAAGAGCTCTTGTGTTCCTTCTTCAATCCAATGCAAGGCTTCTTCGGTTATCACTTCTGATCAGAACAATACTTCTCGTCTATATACAAACTATTTCCAACCCTCAATTTGGAACCACGACTATATCCAGTCATTAACAAGTGACTTTTTGGTAAGATTTATTTTATAATATTCGTACTCACTTGGCTCTTCGTGATATTATTTCCTTGTTTTATGGGTATTGCGTGTGTGTGTGTTATATAACGTTTATAACTCGTTAACAATGAGAAGATATGAACTTTTTACAGGAAAAATCATATGCAGAAGAAACTGATCGGCTGAAAGAAGAAGTAAGAATAATGCTCTTGAAGTTGGAAAATCCTATGGATCAACTTGAGCTTATTGATATCTTGCAAAGACTTGGAGTGGATCATCATTTTGGCCTTGAAATAAGCAACATCATAGAGAGTGTTTATAAAAGTAAGGACACATTAAAGAGGAACAACAATTTATATGTCACGGCTCTTGAATTCAGACTCTTTAGACAACATGGCTATGATGTGTCATCAGGTATCTGTTTGATCCTCAAATTAGTAAGTTGTGTTAAGAATATACTTGTCTTTATATACCATTTAACATTTTTTTATTTGCATGTGTGTCTCTAGAGGTATTTAAAGGATTTCTAGATGATAAGGGCAACTTCCCTTCTGGCCTTTCGGTTGATATAAAGGGGATGCTTTCATTGTATGAAGCCTCATTTCTTTCAATGGAAGGTGAAATAATACTTGATGAAGCTAGAAATTTAAGCTCAACTTATCTCAAAGAGTTTATCCATCATAATAAGGAAGAAAATGAGACATCACTCTTGGTTAACCATGCTCTAGAGCTTCCACTACATTGGAGGATATCAAGATTGGAAGCTCGATGGTTCATCGATGTTTATGAAAAAAGACAGCATATGAACCCTGCTTTGGTTAAGCTTGCTAAATTGGATTTCAACATTTTACAAGCCAAATACCAAGAAGACTTGAAAAATACATCAAGGTATATATGTATGAAAATAATCATGCTTTTTCAGACTTGGAATCTTTCACTATTCTCTAGTTTACAACTCTTTATTCCTTGGTTTTCAATATATTGGAGGGAAATTCAATTTTATTTCTGTTTCGTCTCAAACATTATACCTCGTTTTGCTATTGCAAATTAAGAAGTTTGTTAAGGAATTTTAATGGGTTTTCAATGTAAAGATGGTGGAAAAGAATTGGACTTGGAGAAAAGTTGAGCTTTTCAAGGGACAGAATGGTGGAAAACTACGTGTGGACAGTGGCATTTGCTGAGGAATCACACTTTGGATATTATAGAACAGTTGCAACAAAGGTTAACGCATTCATAACTACAATCGATGATATTTATGATGTCCATGGAGAACTAGAAGAGTTAGAAATATTCACACAAGTCATTGACAGGTTAGCACTTTGATTATTACCACCTTCAGTCCTAAATATAAGAGATAATTTGTAGTACAAACTATCTCTTATATTTAGGACCTGAACTAGTACCTTTTTATTAAATACATACACTTTAATTTCTCTCATTGTAAATTGTAATTATCTTAACATGTTGATCAATATTTTGTAGATGGGATATCAATGCCATCGATTTTCTTCCAGGGTACATGAAAATATGCTTCCTTGCACTTTATAATTTTGTCATTCAAGTGGCTTTTGACATCCTTAAAGAGAATGGACAAAACATCATTCCACACCTGAAGAAAGTGGTATGCTTTGATTCAATTCATTAAACTTCACTAATCGTAGTGATTATTGTAACACCTTATCTTTCCATACCATTAGGGTTATTTTAAATGACTTCAAATCACTAAAAGGCAGCTTTCATCCTAGAAATGTTTGCTTTCTTTTGAAAACATTTCCTAAACATAGGGTTTGATCCTATTTAAGAAATAAGATTTTCTGAAAAATTTTAAACTTTTCAAACTTACTTTCAGTTAAGCCTATTTAATGATTCAAGTACTTGATTTAACTTTTTTATAAAACTGGTAAAGTTATCTTGAGACCCAAACTCTAACATTGTCAAGGCCCCATACTTAGCAAACAAGTCAACATAAAAATTCTTCTACTTGAGCAACTTCTCTGTCCCTCGGCACTATGCATACGCTTGCCCTTACATAATAAGATAAGTAAATATATTTAGCTATTATTACCTCTACTTTACCACTATACAACCATCAGAACAGATGGCACTCACCTACTACTCACCTGCTGCTGGCTACAATAGCCATTGCTTTCCTCTTTACAGCCCACATTCTCTTTACATAATTAAATATATTTATATGCAAAATTATAGCCATACATGGCTACCAAATATTATAACTATAAAGCAACAAAATAATATTTATATAATAACCACTAAAAACGTCTTTGGAGTCTCCGCCTTCAGATCTTCCCTATGAGCTTGCCTTCCTTTAAGGAACTTGCTCTTACTGTTGATACATGGGAGAAAAGGGGGTGAGATTCAGAGGAATTAGTAGTAAAACATCAACTCAATATAAAATATGCAATGATAATGAATTAAGCATATAAATAGCCAATATAATTCAGAACAACACCTTACAAGCAAATACACATGGCCACGACACCAGCTCAAGTGAGGATATTACATGTTCAAAGACGTACATGGCAAATAAACATGCAAGCAACCAAGCAAAAGCTATATAAGAGTCAATAAGTTTCACTACCTTTTATCTCTTCTTCCAAGTTAACTCCTCTTGCTTGAACTTCTTTATTTTGCTTCCTCCTTTGTTTTGTTAACAATTATCAAATCCTATAATTCATAATACATTTATGGGAACAAATTAATACCTAACTTGGGTACATTACCATCTCTATTAACATCCCCAAACTCTATCTCTTTCATTTAGCCTTTCGCTAAGATCCTTTATCTTAATTTTTACTTACTTGGAAATTCGTCCCTCATGCCTAACCTATGCAATAGGGCATAAAGAATTCATTTCTGAGCTTGGACTTACAAAATTTCAGCTTCTTTTTATCCAAACAGTGGCTGAACAAAAACAGGGGAGAAGTACTCCTATATTCAAATTACATCGTTACCATATCTCGTGTAGAAGCCTTTAAACATGACTATGTTTATATTATTATAGAGCTTTAAAGCAGTAGCTATTTTCATTCATAAAGTCATGAAAATTACCAATTAGTAGACATCCATCATCAACCATTTTCATAGCACACAAACAACTCAACTATTGTCTCATTTGAACACTTTATCCTCCTCTAAACTTTTGAATGGCTTTGCAATTTTAATCTGAATTTTTCCAGCTGATTTAAAATCAGGTGTCCAAATCCAAGTTTTGCAGGCATTTTTTCCCATACATCATACCAATGGTATACAATGCAAGTCCATTGGCTTTTGGTACCATTTTGCTCCCTTCAAAATTCGGATAGCCTTTCATGTTAAATCTGAAAGTTATTTTTCCAGATTTTCCAAAAAGTATTCTCTTCAAGAAAAGCTCAACATTCAACCACATTTTATGTATCTTCTAGATGCATATATATACTTCATTTCAATTCCTTATAACCTGGGTACATTATGGTTATTTAAAAACAACAACTTCGCTGAGACCGTGGCTCCAAAATTTCAAATGGCAACCCATACTAACAACAAAAAAATTCAGCTTCAAGAACAAGCTTTAAACCTTCATCTTAAAGTCTGTAGGCATGATTTAAACATTTAACAATTATGCAGCATTTAAAGACATTAGCCAGCAAAATCTAAATTCGTTTCTGCTTTCATAGTATCCCTTTAGAGCTTTGAAAGTCATACATCCGCACAGCACGCATATACATTATATACTTAAGCATTTAAGTACTTTTATATTATCTCCATAAGAAAACCAGACAGAGCCCTGCCGCAAGAGAAGCTGCGAATTTGAACCCATCATTCTTACAGCAATATTCCACATGCAAGACCATCCTCCACTACACCCCCAAGCCTCGGTCACACACACATATTTATATTTACATTCACGAAACTTTGATTATAATATCGAGCTCCCAAGTGCAATAACAGCAAGTGTGAAGCATCTTCAAACATTGAACTTCTTTTCTCATCAAATCTGACACAACACACACACTCAACAAAGAACCCCATGCCATTCAAACTAGAAATAGCAACATCGACCCTTAACCTTCAACATGCAGAACCGGACGCTATCTTCATGGGTTAATAACCCCTGTTTGCGACACACAAGACAGAGACAGAGGGGGACATGCAACCAAGAAAACATGCTTCTTCTAGCCTTTTATCAGTGAACCCAGCGACCATAATCAGAGCAAAGCAAGCTTAGTTCGATTATTCCCTTGTTCCTTAACTTCTCTCTATAAAAAAGATTTTCATCCCCAAAAATCTCACCAAAAAAACGCAGCTACAGAAGAAAATGAGGGTGGAATGGTGCTTAGGAGGCTTACCTTGATCAAGATCGCCGGTCGCATGCAAAGAAAATAGTCTCTGATTAACTTTTTCTTCTTCCTCGCTCCCTCTTGCCTCACTCGGTCTCTCCCTCTAATTTCTCTGGTCCGAATCGAGATGAAGGAGAGAATGAAGCTTCAGATGAATTAAATGAGTGGAGGTGTCGAAAAGACCATTTTACACCTCTAACCTTTCTTGTTTCAATTTCATCCTTTCACTAAATTTCTGAAATCATAGAATAAATCCAAAATTTTTTCCACAATGTCCTGTGTGGATTTTCCTTCTCCATTAAATTCTTTGATCCATAAAATGATTTCTCTAAGCATTTCAGGTCATACATCAATTCCTAACTATTTTTTTTTAATTTTTTTAAAAAATAGCCCTTAATTTCATAAATTAATCCTCAATACTTTATAAGGATATTCTTCCTTAATTAGCTTCTTCACCTCACAAAATACTTATCCTAAAAATCTTGGCTCAAAAATTGAATTCTAACTATTTTTCCTTGAATTTTTGGAAAAATAGGCACTTATCTCCAGAAATTAACTTTAAAATTATTTAAGCCATATTTAGGTAATTAAACCTCTTCATAAATTTTCTAAATACTCAAAACAATATTCCGTAATGTCTTCCCAAATTTCCTTAGGCATTAAATAATTTTAATAATTATTTCTCCTTAAAATTTTACCAGAAAATAGGCTTCTTAACCAATAAAGTAATTTTGAGGCTCTAATCCTTAAAATAATTCCTTTGAACCTCATAATTCCTTAATAGCCTATTTTCTTCATCTTTAAATTTTGGGATGTTGCAATTATATTCTCTTATTTCAAATGTTAATTATATTTTCCTTCTTTGTTTTTTTTTTTTTTCAGTGGGCCGATCTTTGTAAATCATATTTGACTGAGGCAAAATGGTTACGTAATGGGCATCAACCAAGCCTGCAAGAGTATCTAGAAAATGCTTGGATTTCAAGTAGTGCACCTGTCATACTTGTTCACGCTTTTATGGTACTTTCTAACACAAGCTTTTCAAACCCAGTCTGCTTAGAAGACTATTATGACCTTATTCATTCTTCATCAATCATTTTACGCCTTACCAATGACCTGGGAACGTCTAAGGTATCATGAAAATCTCCTTTCAATTATTTAACTAACTATTTCGGAATTTCATGAAATATGATATTAATTGTTTTATCACATTATCTTACTGTTTTTGTAGCGTGAAAAGGAAACAGGTGATATAGCTAAATCAGTTGAGTGCTACATGAATGAAACTGGGGCTTCTGAAGCTGATGCTCAAAGGCATATAAACTCATTGATATATGAAACATGGAAGAAGATGAATAAAGAAGCTACCAACTGTCCAGACTTCAAGAGTTTCATTGAAGTTGCTTTGAACGTTGGAAGAATGTCACTATGCATGTACCAGCATGGAGATGCCCATAGCATTCAAGACCTTGTGACTAAGAACAGTATTATGTCGTTACTTTTCCAGCCCATTATTGTATGAACTTGCTTTGATTGACCGAGTGAAAAAAGTGCACCGGTCTACCCTTGATAGATAAACCCAAACCACTATAAGTGAGGCACACATATAAATAAGGAAAAGCATGGATAAGATGCCGTTTCTATTTTTTATTGTCATTTACTGCATTGGAAGAAGTCATTACAACCTGCTTCATTGTTATAGTAATTATCGCTTTAACCTGGACGCCATTCTTCCTCTAGAAGGATAATGGGATCCAAACTATGGAGGCGAGGTGTGAGAGTATGAATTGCATTTTATCTCAGATCAATGATACTCAATCTTATATGCTCGATGAACTTTTATACAATCAAATAAAAACAAATAGATTCTGAAAAAGGGTTGCTATCTTATAAATATAAAATAAAATATAAAAAAACCCACACGCCTATCTTGTGATAGGTATCATTGGATTATTTTCAAAATTAAAGTTCATATATTCTAATTTAATTAGACAAAAGTATATTCTTTATAAGTCACAAGATCAAAAACTACAATTACAGAGAGCTACCGAAATAATCAAACAAAGAAAAACATGTTAGAAAGAGGATAATTGAGTTGTTAGTTAGGTGAGATTGGCCTATATAAAAGGTCTAATGTGATGTGTTTAGAGTAGAATGTGGTATCCTCACCAATCAGAGGGAGGATGACTTGGGTCTCCCTCCTTAGTCACAATAGTTTTGGATTGTTGGTTAATCTCTCAAGTGAGGGATTTGATTAGCCTTAAGAGGATTCTTATTCTTTGTTCATCAATAATGATACTTAGTATTTTTTTTTTATTCTCATTACTTGACATGATATCATGAGTAGGTAAATATTTGGGCCAAAAATATCGAAGCCCATGAAGGTGATTCTTGTTTTGCCACCATAGCTGAGTGATCCAATTGTTCTGTCTGCCAATAGTTTCAAACGCTGCATTTTGAGGATTCTTTGAGCAACACCTTTCTTGTTTTGCCGCTGTCAAAGCTTCCTTTTGAGATTTGTCCCTATCATCTTTTTGTTTCTTATCGCCGTCGTTGAAGTGTGCATCAGGATGAGGGGCGGAGCACAGTGACCTATCATCCCCGTCAAAGGTCACCGTTTCATGTTTCATTCCTGCAGAGTCTTCACCAGCTTCCTTTCCCCCATCTTGTCGTCGTAATCTTCATTCGGTCATGGCCATACCATTCGTCATGAATGGCCCTGTTGAACATCATCGTCATAAAGAAGCACAAAGATCGATCCAAGAAGGCGTCATTCTTGCGTTGTTGGTGTTTGACCGGTTAGTTCTTCATCTTTCTCACCTTTCCCCCCAGTCTTCACCGTCGACCACATCTGATTCACCCTTCAAGCCACGACTGTACATGTGTATGTCATCGACCAAAGTGTCATAGAAGGATGTGGTTGTGGCCTCGCCTCTAATTTTGGCTTTCTGATCTTGTTCCGCCGAAGGCATTTGATGGCCCTTGAGTTCGTGTCTCCCTCGGCGGATTGATGCATCAAGATCATTCTTTCTTCGATGATATACCTATACTCTTCTCCTATTAAATTGAAGTCTGCAATCTCACCTTATGCTTGTGTCGCTATAATGTGGTAGCTGAACATTGATTCAAGAATGAGATTCTTTGTTCATCTTTTCAAGATTTTAAAAGATCCATTAAAATATGGTAAATCACCAAGAGTGATGGGTGAGCATCTACAATCCTTGTCCCTCTCTAATGACTCGAATGGGGTAATCAAAAGTGATAGTATTGGCCTAAGTTTTTAGCGTTGGCGAATTTATTTTGGTCTTGGAGTCACTTGAACTATGCAAGCTAAGATAAAGAAACTACAGAAGAGGTTTAATTAATTTCTTACAGCATCATTGATGATTTACCTCTCTCAGTCATTGATTTGTAGATTTGCTTTGACTTTAATTGCTTGACCACCATGAATGTTCTTATATACCCAAGGCTAAAATCACAGTTTAATAAGTTGTCCTGGACTATAGTATTTTGTGGGTTCTACAGCACTATGGTATATATAGATTTCTTTGGCATTTACCCATGAGCTTCGTGAGGTACAGGGGAGAAGAAATTATTAGAGCATGTTACCACCCAATGATATGTTGATTATGTTCAAGAACTTTATTTCTTGCAAGGCTAGTTTGAGCACCAATTACTGGCTCCATTTACACCACCACAGTTCCTAGTTTGGGGTCTAGGCAATTATTTCATCAGTCCGAGTCATTAAGATGAGGTTTTGAGAAGAAAAGGGTTTCCACTATAGTATGTTATAAGAGAACTTGCTAGAAGTCCTATTATATGTGAAAGACAATCAACTTACGTTCTTGTTCCAAAGCAAATTGATGAGGTATTCACAAAGCTATGAACACGTGCAGTTTGAATTGGTGAGTCAATTGGGGCGTTAGACAGTGGGCTTTAGCAAGTATATATTCAATGGCTTTTCGCATCATGAGCAAATGGTTGAAGAATTGGTTTTATGCTATGTTTGTTTGTTTCTTCATAAAAGACTCGCAGCTGGTTAGTGATAACTTGCTTTGGAAACTATGCAAGAAATATGGTCAATGCTTGGGTGGGACTTCAATAAATGAGCCAATAATAGTAGCTGAAAACAATTTCCTCTACCTCCAAATTCAAACATGTCTGAAGAGAATCAACAAAGTAGATGTTGGGAAGAGTACTCTAACATCATGTTGTTTTGCATATTGAAATTGCAAGTTCACTTCACATATAGGTGTGTTAGGAGAGTGTCTTGGCACCAAAAGAAGGAGGGTAACATGGTCCTCACCTCAAGTATTACTCTCAAAGTTTGAGGGTTTGTTATCCTGTTGTTTAACAAATTGTTTGACAAGTTGAAAGGTTTTATTCTCTTCACCTTCATGGTTTGTGTTTGTCAAGTTGATCACTTTAGTTAAAAGGTGTTCAACTTGAGGGGGCATGTTAGAGAGAGGATAATTGAGTTATTAGTTAGGTGAGATAGGCCTATATAAAGGGTCTAATGTGATGTATTTAGAGTAGGATGTGTTATCTCACCGATGAGAGAGAGGATAACTTGGGTCTCTCTCCTTAGTCTCAATAGTTTTGGTTTGTTGGTTAATCTCTCAAGTGAGCGATTTGATTAACCCTAAGAGGGTTCTTATACTTTGTTCATCAATAATGATACTTCGTATTTTTTCATTCTCATTACTTAACAAAACAAATACAATAATGTAATTAATTAGGAAGCTTTTGTTCCGGAAGCCTGCTTCTTGTTCCTTAGGAGGCCTAAGGAATAGTGCACACCAAAGTTCGTACTCTTCCCTAGTCACTTTTAATGTGGGGTAGCCGTCATCTTCATCATCTATCTGGATTTGATCATTTTCCTCTATTCCAGAGTTGAAATATCCTTTTAAATACTCCGTATAGTCACTCCAAGCATCGTCGAAGACTCTACTCCCCTTCCAGTCACTTGAGAATAGCGCTGGAACTGTTCCCATTAGCTTTTCCTTGACCGAGTCTATTTTATCCGTCGCATGGTTTTCGGACTCTGTTACCTTTGCTTGTTCAGAGGAAGTTGCTTGCTCTTTGTTGGGTTTTTTGAATTTTTTCTGTCTTCTATTTGTCAAATCACCGTCATCCGGTACTCCAACTCCATCATTCTCAGAGAGAGCATTTGCCATTTTCTACTGGAACGAAGTGCTTAGACGGGCGTAAACCCTGGAATGAGGTCATCCACTAGTGTAGCTGAATCATATTCGACGCCTTCTTTAACCACAAAGGATGGTAGAAAAGAACGCCTCATTCTTCAACCTGAAATTTTTTCTCCACTGAAATTTCAGCTTTTTTCAATTTTCAATGGGAGAAAGTTAAAAACTCCTTTCTCTCCAAAGTTAACACCAAGTGTGTCAATTCTTCTCGTTCATGAGGGTTGAATGGTGGGACAACATTTTTCCCTTAGAAAGTAGAAACATAGCAGAGATGACGTCGTTTAGCAATAAGTATAAACGCATCTCTTGCTTGTTTTAAATAAAATGATATGCAGTGAAAGATGAGCTATTAGTGCTCATCTCCCACTGAACAGGAAAACTGATTCCGCGCAACGCGTGGCCAGAATAATGTCTTTTTAAAAAAATTGAAAATGTATATAATTTATATATATATATATATATATGTGTGTGTGTATCAATGATTAAAGAATCAGACCAGATTAAATGGTCAAATTAATAGAACTATTGACTAGACTTGTTAACGATTTGATTTGGATCGAAAGAACCATTTTCATAATTGAGTCGAGTTGGATCAGAGTTGACTCATCATTGATCTAACCTATAATTGAACCAAGAACCAGTTTAGTTTTTGAAAAAACAGATAGTTTTATGGTATAAAAAATGCTGAAAATATTTAATAAAAAACTATTGACAAAAAACAAACCCTAAAAAAGTCCAACATATTTTAGGTCACTTGGTAGCCATATGATGTTATTATATTGAAAACTTCATATATTGTAATGTTATTATACTAATAATTAAACTTATTGTAAATTTATTATATATATATACATACACACATATAATTATTTTTTATTTAGTTATTATGTCATCGATCCAATCACTACAAAAAAACTGACCTTCAGCGATAACTTTTAGCGTAATAATCAAACTCGCCACTGAAAGAAAGTGACTTTCATTAATGATTTCAAAACGTGACCACTGAAAGTTTGAGTTTTAGTGGTGACTTTAATTGTCGCCGCATAAAGTGTGACTTTTAGTAGCGACTTTTAGAGTCACCACTAAAAGTACAGCTTTTTATAACAAGTATAAAAATGTTTTACAATTATATACTATATACATATAAAAATGTTTTTAATTGTTCTACCAATTTGATAGGCAAAGTTTAATATGTTGCATGTATGTATGCATATGTATGTGTATATGTATGTGTTTTGTTGCTCCAATTTCTTTACTCTCACACATAAGGAAGATATATTAGGTCATGTAAAAAATAGTCTCTTACACCTTAATCAAGATATTTTTATGGACAAGATTAGAGGTATAATTGGGAAAGGGTCTCTCCTCTCCCCTTTCCATCATCTTCCCTCCTATTCTTTTTCTA